TACCGGTACTAATCCGAGTCCCAGAAGTAAGCACGTGAAATTGCCTTGTCAGTTGAAGCTATATCATGAAAGAAATCAAACATTTCTAAAAATTGGATTAAATTATGAGTTTCCTGGCCTGACTCTTTTGTGCATCGTATTCAGGAAATTTGTTCTCTCGGCCATTTCTATCAAATGGTGTTCGTTTTAGTTTTTGGGTTTAAAAAAAATTATATCTTCATTCCAGTGCAAAGATGAAAGTGGGTGGTTGGCGGGTGCTCTGGTGTGGTTTGCTCCTTCTTTCCTATCAAACATCTGTCGTCATTATCTCCCCTCCTTCTTTTTTGTGTATGTTACTCTCTTGTTACACATCTATTCTTCGGCACTTATATGACCTTATTGTGTTGCAAGTGCCGTAAATCTCTTACGAAAACTAAACTAAAAAGATGTAAGATTATCAGAAAACTTTATCTATTTATTTACATCTTCTCTCACCCTCGACTAATAGCCGTATTTCTTGTTCTCACTTTTTGATAATCTAATCTCTGTCTCTTTCTAGTTTTATATTTCTCTCTGTCTTCTTCTGTATTTGTCTTTGTATTTATCTTTCTTTGTCTCGTGGTATCTGTCCCCCTCTTTCTCCTCTACTATCTATCAATCTGTTGTCAATCTGTCTTCCTTTCTCCCTATTTTCTTCTTGCTTACTACCCTCTTGAGCTCCGTCTTTGAAATGAGAAATGTCTATCAGGATAAACTTTAAAGAACAAAAAATAAGAAAATAATTTTTTTTAAAATCAGCTCCCCCAACCCCCCACAGCACCCCACCCCTACAACTACCAAAAAAAAAACAACAACAAGAAACTTGCAAACTCCCCCCCCCCCTCGAAAAAAAACTCCCAACAAAACTAGCGATCTGGTGAATTCAACCAAAACTGTCAAAACCATAACCTCCCATCATGCTCACACGTCGTCCACCGACTGACTACCAGTTCGTTTGTTCATCTGGAGGCCTTTTCTGTTCACTTCCTCTCGCACCAGTGGATCTCATTTCACGGCTGGGTGCCAAGTACATCAGAGCAACCACAGGCTAGAAGAATTCTACAGGCTGAGCTCGGGGCCACAACAAAATAAGAGTTCTAGTCCTACACATCAACTGCTTGAAAAAAAAAAAAGAATAAATACATTGCGACCGATATGGCACCATAATTAAAGTTCAATGTCTATTCCAAAGCTCGAAACGACAGTAAATGCTCTTGGATTTAGACAGTAATGTCCGGCCTGTCCAAAAGATTCAGCCCGGTGTATTTATTGAGATGGATGTAATCAAAGATGGTACATAACAAGATGTGCCACTCAGCCAAAAAAGTGTCCGTCGGAAGTCCGCTCTTTGCTTCAGATGGCGCTTCAGTCTGTTTTGAAGCTCTCTTTCGTTTTTCCAGAAGAAGAATAGGAATAGCACCTCCTTGCGTGCGCAGATCGACTGCTGTTCATTAGCAGTTCGGGTGCGTTCTTTTAATGACCTCTCGCCGTTTATTCTAAAGTCAAATTAAAGAAAGAAAACAATCACCCCTTCCTCCGGAAAAGGTTTTTTGTCAGCGTAGCCATTTAAAAAAAGCGTTCTTCCGAAATTTATTCCAAAACTTGCTAGTTTCACTTTGATTTTTTTTGTCTTAGAATATCATTGAAATAAGAAAGCGCCGTATCAGTTTTTAGAAGGCGTATGGAAGGAAGGAAAGTCGAGGGAAGAAGTCATATGTTAATATGTTACCATCTTTAAAAGCATTAACGGACTAGATTCGTACCTTGTAGGGCTTTATCTCGTTACTCAGTAACTTACAATTTTAAAAGGGTAAAGGTGATGCTCTTCCTACGTTTTCCTTCCACTAGTATCCTTATGATGTGGAAGGGAGAGGGAATATCCAAGTCCAAGAATAAAAAAAAAAAAAAAATCAGTGCTTTACCAACACGGCGCACTGTTTGCTCATTTGGTATCATTCTGGGCTTCGAGTTGAATGGCCCTTGTTGAAATTCCCAGTAGGTCGCTCTGACCTTGGGCTGTTTTGCGGAGTTTTTAGGGCTCTTCATCCATTTGGCACTGTCCTATCGGAGATTTACATAAAATTCGGAGGATGTGTCTCTTGAATAACCTTGCAGTGCTGAAAGAGGCGTTATGACCAATGGCCATACTGACAACAATCGCTGTCAAGCCCATCATCTGAATAATATAGGTAGTGACAAAGACTTGAACTCACCTTTAAAGCTGCCTTCTTACGATGTTTACTACTTCAGAATGCTTTTTGAAGATTACAGTTTTTTTGGATTTAGAATTTCAGGAACGTATGAGTACTTACAGTTTTCAACTTTCAAAGGACATTTCCAAAGCTCAATTTTAGGGCATTTGATTAAAATAATATACAGGTTGTCATTCTAAACATTATATCTTAGCACGTTCCTTGAGATTGTCAAGCGCACAACCTTTCCTTAAAAAGGACATTTCTTTCTTCAGGCTAATTTTTTTCTGGCAAGCAACTCTGCCTGCAACATTCGCCGCTGTATGACGTAAATTGGCTTTAATTACTTCACGAAGCTTCCTGTGGTTTGATTTAACATCAAAGAGGAACACCAAAATCTCTTTAATAGGACAACTGATATAAGGGGTAAAAACCTGAGATGAAACAAAATGCAGCAAAGAATAATATTATCTAATTCGAGCAGGATAAGGTGGACATGATTCCGAAGGGCAAGAAGCAAAATGGGGCCTATGCATGGGAGATTAGTGGCGCG